TGTTATCGCTTCTCTTTTAATATTTTTTATTTTATTAAAATTGATTTAAAATATATTACTTCATAGAAAAAACATGATAGATAAAAATACAAAGAGAAGCTATAACAGCCCTAACCCATGTTTTTTAATATTTAGTTACAACTCTGGCCTGTCTAGCTAATCTAGGTCTATTTTTCCAAACGGCCAAAAATTAATCTCAAAATTTTGGGTATTTAAAGCTAACCTAAACTCTCGTTATGATTTGGGAAAACATAATCTACCTAAGAGAGAAAGAAGTGGTTCCGTGAGCGAAAGATCGACCAAGTAAAAAGAAGAAGAAATCTCGTGATATGCAAAAAGGAAGCCGAAGGCGAAGAGGAGACGAGGAGGACAACAACAGAAGGAAGAGAAAAAGGTCTAGTTGGGAAGAGGAACAAGTTTTGGTGGGGGAACACGATGTCGTGATGGAGATGACATGGAAGATGGCGCCGGGAGCGACGGCGGTGTGCACGGGGCCGACCATAGCACATGCAGAGGCGGAGGCGAGGATGGGGAGTCACATCAAGGACTCGTGTCGTAATGGAGAAGACGCGGCCATGGGGGATCAAGGAGGATGCACGCAAGTGCATTGGATGCCTCAAAAAGTCGATAGGAGGCTTCAACAGATGATTCAGCGGCTCGACTTGGGGCTGCGGTGGTTCCAGGGAGTTGGGGTTGCGGTGGTTCCAACGAGTTGGGGCAGAGGCATAAAGGTTCGGAGAGGGCTGCAGTGTCGAGGCAGAAGCTGTCCACGCTGAGGACCAACCTCGGGTGTGAGTTAGAGACTTTGTCAGATCAGGAAGGATGGTCGGAGGTGGTTCCGGCGGAAGACGGAAGGAGCCAAGCGAGTCAAGGTACAATGGGTTTTTGCCACTTAGACCCAAAACAGATAATATCATACTAATTGGCTGGAGACACCTTGGACATACTGTGTATTGTTGGAGAGGTACGTGATCTGGTCTCTGAGAGACGTTCTCATGTTCACCTCGGGTTGCTTGAGATAAATAGATTGTATGCTAGGAATGGAACTTGCGATTTAGAATATTATCTCGTATTATATTTATGGGCTTTACTTGTTTACATGCTTTACTTGTTATGTGATATTATATGTGGATTGTGTGGTTCTAGCCCACCCTCACTGAATAATTTCTCCCTTCACCCCTCTCTTTGTATGTCTTACATGTGAGAAAAAGTTATTCATTAATGAGTCAGATCGGAATAATCGGTATAAATTAACAGCATAAGTGGAGTGTTATATAAACGGATGGTCTTTTTCGCACCGAAATTAGGTGTAGACAAACATCTTTGATGGCGCCAATTTAAAACTAAAAAAAATATTATAAAGATATTAAGTATTAATCAATAGATGTTTTACTGT